GCGAAAAACGACGTCTGTCGTTCGAATCTTTGGGTTTTGGTCAGATGTCGGGAGTGGACGAGGATTCGGGAGAAGATGGCAATGCAAAGACGGCGGAAGACAAGAGTCTGATGAAATCGTGTATGTCAAGTCGTTTGCGCCGGGTTTCGAGTGGTTTCGCGGTGTCGATGAGATGAATGGAAATCTGAGAGTGAGCAGGGTGGAGATGTGGTGGAGGCACGAACGGCTGTGGTCGGTATACCTCCAAACAATTCGAATTCCAATCAACAAAAGTATTCTGTCTTGCCCTTGCAGTAGTCACCAAAGTGCTTTGTGTCCGTGCCAGGTCCACAAAATACTCCTATTTGATTGCCGAGTGTGCGCTCGTGGGGGGGGGGGGTCGTACCAGGCAGTACCCGGAGCCTTTTGTGGGCAATTTAATAGTAATGCTGATAATTCAAGGTTTATTGGCGTGGATGCTACAAAGTCTACGGCAAAGAAATAAGAAATGCATACCACCGCACCACCCACCACCCGTTAGATGACACGGGACATGAATCCATTCCAAGGCTTGCTATCCAACCATTGCAAACCAGCCAATAGCCTTCGGACGACGAGAAAATCCGCCTCCTACCGCTGCTGGTGGCCAGCAATAGAAGGCAGACTGAGATGCAGCGAGCTTCCCAAACTCCGCCTCACTGGGAAATTGACGTCGGAACACGCAGCAAGGGTGCTGGGGATTGACACGTTGAACAGGCGTGGTGTTGGAGAGCCTCGCGTCCCGGGAGCTGTGGGTTCTGGGCGGTACTGGACAACATCAGCGTAAAGGAGTCCCAAGAAGGCTTCACACCGGCGTCCAAAGCACCAAAGATACCAGGGGATGTGGCAGTGAGCTTTGGGGTTCAGGGCAAAAGAGGGGGGAGACAAAATGGCAACGGACGGGGGGCAGCATACAAACCGACCTGGGGAGAGTTGGTTTGCTCTGCCTACTGGCGGAGACCGCGCTAACCCACCGCCAATGAGCGGGGATGGAACCGCGATGCCCGATGCGCGGCGCCTATCCGACCGTCGGACTTTGGAGCGATGGGTTCTCCAATGTACCTTGAGTGCAAGGTGGCACAGCCACAGGACAGCCACAGCCGGCAGACACTTGAATCGCCCAACAAAATAACCTTTATATTCTGAAAACTGATTTACCAGAGTAGTTCTTACCCTCATTGGAACAGTGGACAGTTCATCTGCCTTCTAAGCAGAGAGTCGTGGGTTCGACCCCCACATGAGGTATAATAATGTTTTGTTTTCTCTTTGAGTTTTTGAGAACTGACTGTTACAATCACAGAATGTTTTGTTTTTCTTTTTGAGTTGTTGAGCTGTCTGGAGGTCATTGTCTTGTGGTACGCACTGTGGCCTTGTCCATTGCCCGTTTGTTTCTGCCCCCCATTTGGAAACAAGTGGACAGTTCATCTGCCTTCTAAGCAGAGAGTCGTGGGTTCGACCCCCACATGAGATACAACAAGTTTTGCTTTCTTTTTGAGTTTTCAAGCTGTCTGGAGGTCATTGGGGTTGTGGAACGCATTTTGGCCTTGTCCATTGCCTGTTTGTTTCCTGTCCCCCACCCTCAATTTGGAAAAAGTGGACAGTTCATCTGCCTTCTAAGCAGAGAGTCGTGGGTTCGACCCCCACATGAGGTACAAAAAGTTTTGTTTTGTTGTTGAGTTTTTGAGAAGGGACTGTTACAATCACAGAATGTTTTGTTTTTCTTTTTGAGTTGTTGAGCTGTTTGGAGGTCATCTGTCACCCCTAGTGACATTTGAGTACCTGCTGCTAGGATAGTGGTTGGGTAGGGGGATTAGTCACGTGAAAGGGGTCGTGTGGCACAGCGCACACAGGGTCATTCAGACACAGAGGGTTTAGTTTCTCTTAGGTTTTATAGAGTCCACTCTGTCACAGGTGGGATGGAGGCATGTCAGTATTTGCTTTGCTCTTGTTCATTACATTTCCGTCACAGTCTTCTGCTCTACGCTCGACTCTGGTAGTGACCCTTAGGGCGTGTACGGCCAGCACATTATTGTGCACGGATTTGGATTATGTGGGCGTGTTCGACACTTTCAAGTAACAAATTACTAGTTGTTGCTCACTGAAAAAAATAACTACCTTCAGGGCTTGTTTTTCAACCATCACAAACTCATACTTTCGGCATACACACCAATTCCTCAACGCAATGGGACCGAAACAACGCGAAACTGGCAAGGCTAAGACAGAGGATACAGAGGACATGGACGAGAGGGAAGGGAAGGTCCAGTGGAAGACCAAGGACAGAGAGAGGGTGCTGCTAGAGACCCTCCTCTCGTTTAAAGCACACAGGAACGGCGGCAAGTTCTCCAAGCAGTGGACACCGATTGTTGCTGCCTTCAACCAACGGGCGAATGTCAAGTACAGCAAGACAGCAATTCAGAACAAGCACGGGGAGCTGAAACGAATGCACACAGCATTCCTCAAGCTCAGGGACCGTTCTGGAGCCGGCGTGGACCCAACAAACCCGTGCAAGGTGACGATGAGCGATGATTCATGGAAGGATTGGGAGAAGGTGAGTGCTAGGTTAGGATGGAGGTCCCGAGGAACTCTATCACCCCTTCGTTTTTAATGAACAGCACAATGAAGCCCTCGTCAAGTACAAATGGCGTGACAATGGTTTCCCATTGTTTGTGCTGGCTGACCAGATCTGGGGCACCACTGCTGCCACTGGACAATACGCGACGAACGCAACAACACACCAGGCGCGAGATACCAGCAGAGATCCGGCGGACATGACAGACAGCGGCGACTCATCAGAGGATGAGAAGAGTGGAGCGGAGCAGGATGAAAGTGATGGACGTAGCCTCAGGGACAGTCGGGAGGGAGGTGAGTGCTACTTTCATATTGCTCCAATCGCATACCAGACTTCACTACTGCTTTTTACAGGTCAGGGCAGTGCTCCTAGCACACCTGTGCTTTCTGTCTCTCTTGACGGGTCGCGGAGGGGCTCCGAGGGTTCTGTCATACGCTCGAAAGCCCCAACCACACGCCAGAAGCGCAAGCGGGAAAGCTCTATCACCCCTAACCCAGCGGACACAATTGCGGCCGGCATCAACAACTTTGCAGACGTATTCAAGACGGCTATGCAGAGTGGCGTGGCGGAGGGGAATGGCAGCTGGGTGGTAAAGGCGCTCAGCGTTGCTCTCACGGACGGGTTCAATGCTGAGGAGCGTCGCCACCTCGCAAGGCTGTTCAGAGAAGACAAGGTGAATGCAGAGGTCTTCTATGGTTTGGGGGATGTGGGGACACGACGGGGTTGGCTTGAGGACCAGGATCTGCCCATGTAGCTATGTCCAACGCGAGATGCAATAATAAATTTCATGTATTACAACAGATGTAGTGTAAATAAGAAAAAAACTGTTACGCTATACGCCATTAAGTGTCTATAACAGGTGGTGGGCGATAATCCCGTTCCGCCCGGATTCGCACATAGTCGTCCCACATCCTCTGAGCCGTCTGCTCCCTCCACACCACTGCTGGCTCCATACGGCGACGTTGTGACTGCACCTCCCCGTTGACTGTTGGGCCCACTGGGTATGGGTTAGCAGCAACAAAGTCCGTGGCAATTGCGTCCCCAGCACCATGGGTCCGCCGATGCACAAAATTGTGGATGACACAACATGCCACCACCATCTCCACTTGCAGAGTGAAATCCATATACCGCCCACCTTTCTCTAGTGCCTGTGTCCTGTTCTTAGCAATGCCGATCACCCGCTCAACAATATTGCGGAGGGAGGAGTGCTGCAGGTTGTACAGCTCTAGCAGTGTCTGAGGTCTATTAATAAAGAGGACAATGTAGATGTAGGAGTGCATGAGTCAGTGAAATTTTCAGCACTCACCTCTTTCCCCACTCTGCCCACTCTTTGAGGTGATACCGAACCCGGAACTTGTATGGGGTCCTCCATTGCATATTGTGCTCGTATCCTGCATCCACAAGGTACCAGCGTCCATCGGGCACATGGAGTCCACCACGCTGAAGAGCGTCGGCAAGAACTGTACCGTCATGTGCTGAGCCCTCGTACCCCGCATAAACATAAACAAATTGTCCATCCAGATCCACAATCACGAGTACATTCTGTGAGAGAAAGCCCTTACGATTCCGAAAGGGAACCTGAGCATCCCCTACAGGAATGCGTGCCTTGATGTGTACCATCAGCAGCACCAAGGCACCCATCAAAATAGGGGGAGAAACAAGGGTTCCCTGTGATCCCTTCTGACTGCACAGTGCTTGCCGTGGGTAGTACAATATAGTCCGGGGCAAGAGAAGCGACAGCTGCTTGAGCAGCTGGGACATAAGCGGTTACAGTGGACAGGGAGTGCCTGAACGCGAGTCCGTATAGCCCGCATAGACACTCCTTGTCCCAGATACATCATCAGCATCGCCATCTGCTGTTCTGCGCTGACCTCTGCTGTGTCAATCAGTTCCCGTCGCAAGCGAATCCTGGCATAGGTCGAGGAAGACCGTTCGCGGCATCCTCAGATTGTCCAGGACCATCTCATCATGGGCACACAGAGTTTCCTGAGTCCAGGCCTTGCCCTGAAGCGCACTATTGGTCATTGGGCGCGGGACTTGGTGAGGATGGGGAATCAGAAAAGAGGCAGCAGCGGCAATGACCATGACGAAGGCCGCACCAGTCGCCGCGACCATCCGAGTCCTGCTTTCCACCAGATCGTTTGATTCCACGTCTGTATTTTCCGCCATGATGCAAATCTGCCATGTGGGAGATGCGGGGTTTCTTGAAGGATTATGGGCGTGTTCGGCACTTGCTGGACCAAAAACTAGTAATTTACGGGGAACTCATACATGCACCCCCAATAACGAATACTTCACAAATAATTACTTTTTAAAATTACAGGTGCCGTACACGCCCTCAGACAGGTCACATCATTGGGGTAGTGGAACGCACTTTGGACTTGTCCATTGCCTGTTTGTTTCTGCCCGCCACCCTCAATTTGGGAACAAGTGGACAGTTCATCTGCCTTCTAAGCAGAGAGTCGTGGGTTCGAACTCCACATGAGGTACAACAAGTTTTGTTTTGTTTTGAGTTTTTGAGCTGTCTGGAGGTCGTTGTCGTGTGAAACTCACTTTGGACTTGTCCATTACCTGTTTGTTTCTGCCCCCCACCCTCAATTTGGGAACAAGTGGACAGTTCATCTGCCTTCTAAGCAGAGAGTCGTGGGTTCGACCCCCACATGGACCTCTCTGAGTCAATCTTGGATGCAACTCAATCAGGATTTGCACGAAGTTGATGCGGGAGGCGGACTGCGATTGCAGCCTTGGCTCTGGTCACACAAACATTGTCGTCTTGGCAGGGGAGGGCTGAAGTGGGACCGTCATTTGACTTCAGGCAATATTTGGATGCAGATTCCTGGTTCTACTTCAGGTAAGACATTGTTGTGCAGCGCTTTTACAGTTGTTCTTGTGTCGGGCATGCGGTTGCTTTTTCAGATTTCATAAGAACGATATACCGTGACTTCAACGCGCTTTGTGCATTCTGACTCCTTTTCAATGGCCAATCAAGTTTGAGTGGATGGTACATTTGCACTTTGCCTCCTGTTGCGCCGGTTTGCGTACCCAAATCGCCCGGAAGAGCTCTCAGCAATGTTTGGTCGCACACATGACTAACTTTCGAGGGTTCTGGACTTCACAATCAATCTGATTGTTGAGGAGTTCAGGGATACCTTGAAGTGAGATCATGTGCGACTGACTGCTGAGCTGCTGACGCAGTTTGGGAGAGCAATCCAAGGCAGGAGGGGCTCCAACTGACAGCATTTTCAGATTTGTGGACTGTACAGTACGGCGAATTTCCTGTCCAGAGGACCACCAGAAGCTGTACTACAATGGGAATAAGAGGATGCATGGCGACAAGTACCAGTCCATCATCACACCTGATGGCATCGTTCACCTGACAGGTCCATGGGTGGGAAGGTATCATGACATCACCATTTGGAGATGGAGTGGAATGGAGGAGCTGCTGCAAGAGCATGGTGAGTGAATAAAGAGCATAATTAGCACTTTGAGAGATTACAGCTTTTGATATGGGCTATGATTTCAGGACGAGACGTCAATGGAAATAGCATGTTTGTTTACGGAGATCCTGCGTATCTTGCTGTGGAAGGGGTTATGACATCACAGAAAGGACATCTTACAGAGGTTGAGCAGGAGTTGAAGACAATTATGAGTGGAGTGGGGTTTTGCAAAAATTCAACAGATTGGGCATTCATGGATTTTGCGAGGAATTTGAAAACAGGGTTGCAGCCGGTTGGTGCATACTACATTGTGTACTTCTTACAAATTGCCATACCTGCATATACGGTCATCCAGTTGCCAGCAAATTCATGTTGACACTGCCCAGCTCAGAAGAATACTTGCACAATTAGAATCAAAACATATGTTTGTAGTTGCAATTGGAAGATCCATCACATTAAAATTACAACCTACTACTATCCCAGCTTATCTAAAAGAGCCTTCATCAGCTGCACGGACCTCTCCTCTTGGCATTGAATAGTGCGCCTTGTCTCCTCCTCACGCACCATCCGCTCTCTCCTGTCCTTCTCTTGTTTCCGCTCTCTTGCACCCTCTCCTTCCCGGCAGCTTTGCCTTTCCTGCTTCCACTTTTCCTTGTCCCATTCGTAACATTCCCTGCTGAAATCCAAAAGCTCCCGTTGAAGCTGAAGGTTCGTTTGATCACTTGTGGGCCCTTCAGCAAGAGCGGCCCCAATGGCGTCAAATGTTGTGTTGGAGCGAGCCAATTGGGATTTGCGGTGCTGTTTTCCAGTCCCGATGCAGAATTCATCATCTTCTGCAACAGAACTGGCTGACGCCTCATCCTCCACCAACCCGCCTCCAAGTTCCAAAGGCACCTTCTTGTTCTTTGACTTTTTGTGGAGGCTTCTCATTGCGTCCTCCATGGCAACTTGTTGCAGGTGCGGTCAAATGGTTGTCACATCAGTTGCCCCTCCAGCCCCCAAAACCAAAGCAACTGCAACTCACTATTGGACAACTGATCAGCACATCAATATCCTTCTTCTGTTACCTCCCAACTCTCGCAGCTTCCTCCTGAAGACGAAGGACGGTAGGCGTTCATGAACAGTGAGACTGAATGGAACAGCGATCACTCACCAATTGACAAAGCTCCTCCAATGCATTGTCCAGTTCACTTGGCTCCTCCTCCTCCTTGCCCGACTCCTTTTTCTTCTTGTTATCCTCTGCCTTGTACTCCTTCATTAACTTCTTCACCTGCTTTTTGCGCCAATGCGTATGTCAACCCGCTCCTGCTGTGCACTTTCCATTTTGAACCCTTCCTCATGCGATAGAGCGGATACTTTGATGCTTCCACGGCTACAGCTGACCACGCACTTGATACAGTTTTGTGGGTGGTGAGATCGAACGGATCGACCTGAACCGCTGCTTGCGCCAGAGCCAAATCGTAGACCTTGTTCTTCCAAAACCAAAACTGCGTCTTGGGAGCCTTCTTGGCCGACTTCTGCGTTGAACCGTCGTCTTTTGGGACTGCTAGGTCTGTTTCATCCTCGTCTGACCCGCTATCACAGTTGGAACCACTTCATATGGCCCCATCAAAGATAAAAATGCACCTGCATTTCAGACATACATCATTGAGACATGAAATTGCTTCATTGCGGTGCAGTTCAGGGTGAATACTCACTCGGAATTCTATTGGTCATCCCCCGATTCTTCCCTTCCGTGCATCCCATGGACCTGGGCAGCTTCCACACAGCTCATCACAACTCTCCAATGCACAATCAGGGCGTGAATAGGAATCGCTGTCAAAAAAACAGACACTGGGGAAATGAACGAGGTGACATGACAGCACCAACGACGATGAAGACACATACCAGCCACGTAGGGGACAGAAGCATGTTTGCTGTGTAATTAATGATGAGACAAAAGGTGAAGGAGAGTGAGAAAGAGAGGACACAAGACATGAAACATGGCAAGTGGAGATGGGGGGCAGACCATATTGGTATTGTCCGCATTTGCATTTTGCAACTGTTTGGGCTGCTAGTTTAGGGCGGTTGAACGTAGCTCAGCCAAATTAATGGCTTCTACATGCTCAAATGCCAGGATTGGTGATTGTGGGAAATGGTAAAGGGCTGTGGAGTGTTTAGAATATGTCATTCCATTGTGTCAGTACTCAGTTAAGGTGGCTGGCTGGGCAAAGCATTGTAATCCAATCACTAGCTTCTAAGTGTAAACGTGAAGCTGAAATTCAGCAATTCGTAAAAAGGTTTGTAGCTGTCAATTCGGGGCTTCTCCTGCATATTGACATTTAATTGTCACATGCCTGTGGGGAAAGAGAACATTGTCCCTGGTCCCAGACCATTCAAAACTTGGAACCACACTGACACTCCCTGAAACGTTTGTCCCACCGCTGTATTGCTACAACAGTCCATCTTCCAAAAATGGCGCAAATTGCACCAAGAAATCCAAGAAAGATGTAATGGTGGAAGCAGGTGCGTAGCAGTGACTATATTCGATTCAACCACTGTCTAACCTATTGTGACCCTTCTCCTGATTGTAGCCATAAGAGACCCAGTAGCCTTTGAGGCCATCATTGCGATGGCTAGACAGACAAATGTTGATGGAAGTCAGATACACTCCTTTGTCTCTCAGTTGTTGCTGTGTTCTGCTGGACTCAAAGACAGGGAACAAGAGGTGCTAAATGTTTTATCAGCTGGTGAGAATGTGACCCACCAGGTTGATTCTGTTCTCTTTGGACGCCAAGCTTTGTGACACAGGATGTGAAGCCTTACAAACTTCGGGTCACACTGAAACCGCAACAACCTTACGGGAGCAATTCACCTCAATTATTGCAGTTCAAACAAGTCTGCAGCAGTCTGAATCAAGGGTCTCCAAACTGGTCGGTATGATCTGTGCACTTGAACAACAAGTCGCCAAATGTAACCAACAACTCCAAACAGCCCAATGTGAGCACCAAGAGAGAATTAGGACCATGCAATCCCAACACATAACTGAAAGAGATGATCTTGCTGAGCGAGTTGGGCGAATGGAACAGGAGATGACAGATTCAGCACAGCTGATGAAGGTGAAGGATGCCTGTTCTCACAAGTGACAACTGAAAGGGATGATATGGCTAAACAAATAGAGTGCATTAAACAGGATATGGCACATTAGGCACAGCTCTTGACTGCAAAGGATGCCACATTCTCACAACTGATGACTGAAAGGCACAATATGGCTAAACAAATCAAGGGCATGGAGCAGAAGATGACAGATTCAGCACAGCTGATGAAGGTGAAGGAGGCAGCGTTGTCACATGTGACAACTGAAAGGTAAATACAAAGGAACACGAACTACGTGCAACTTCCGGACATCCCTCTGAAGTTATAATGAGTGCAATGAATTGCGCAGCTTCGCATACTATGCACCAGCAATGTGCCCACATTGTTCCTGGCTGCGTGAACTGGCATTTCAGACTGTTCCAGCCCTATCCAGTCCTCTCCAGAGAATCTGCTCATGTCAGCACAGTTATGATCTGTCAGTAGATAGTGGTTTGGGACAAGTAGGATGGTGTGGTTGAGCTGGAGCCAAGCTGAGGGTACTAGCATATAGCAGTCAAAGAATCACATCCCATCTGTCACAGTTTAATGTGGAAAACCTAACTGTTTTCTGTCTGGCAAACAGCACCAACGCTCCAGTACAATCCAGCACCAATCCTGTGAAATCACTATTGAAAATGAAAGTACTGAGTCAACATGAGAAAACGACCCAAATCAAGTGCAGCATCGATGAGTGAGGGAATGACAAGAAAACAACACCCTCGGGACAGTTGCAAAGAGTGACAACAAGGATGGATGTCCTCCCAATGTGCATGTCTGAACAGCAAAAGGTGTGTGGGCAGAAAATGATTTTCAAATGGGTGCCAAGCCCCAGTGAGCGCGGAACTAAATTGATGACGTAGAAAAACATGTTTGATTTTGGTTTAGATCACAGGGAAGCGTTTCCAAATAATACAAACGTTCTTTGCGATCACTATGA